GGATTCCTGTTTGGAGTTGGACTAGGATCATCTGTTGTGATTTTGGTGCAGATCTGATTATAAATGAGGAAATGAGAGCCAATCGTATTTTCATGGCGAAACGCCTCACTTCGCCATGGCACCACGGCAACACCATTTGACTAAAGCTCTCTGTGCCTTAAACGAAGTTAGGACAACATGTTGTCTGTCTGCTGACACAGTTTTAGGTTGATGAGGTCAAGTAGGACAGAGAGGGACCATTCCAAGTAAAAAACGTGACTTCCGGTTCTCAGGGGGCGTGGCTTCAATTATGTAACAGTTTTAACATACAGTTTTGTTGGGAACCGAGAGAGGATTAATACTACCAGGTTTCGTGTCATTTCAGTTTCATATGTAAAAGTTATTGCATTTTGAAAATGTTGGCGAGTACGCCAACTTCGAGGCCTGGCCACACCCCTTTAAAATGCTGGAAAACTCAAAAAGTTTGATAAGTTTGGATCTCACATGCCTTATCTGCATACATGCCAAGTTTGAAGCCGATGGCTCACCGTCCCTAGGAGGAGTTCGCGAAAGTTCGACGTCAACAAAATTGAAAAAGTGCCAAAAATCGGCCTTTGAGCCAAAATGGCCGACTTCCTGTAGGTTTTAGAGCATACCCATAATGTAACTTTTTTCATGATTTGGTGAGATCTATGCACCTGCCAAATCTCAAATCTCTGTGACTTACGGTTTTCCCCAACTCACGTTAGGCGGCGCTGTAGAGCCATTTGGCCACGCCCATTTTGGATTCCATTATCATACGTAAATTTCACTAGGGGGACAATTTACTGCCAAGTTTGGTGAGTTTTTGAACATGCTAAAGCCTCCAAAATGCTGTTTCTTTTACGCGGAGAAAAATAATAAATAATAATAATAATAACAAACGATACAGGAACAATAGGCTCTCGCAGCGGTGAGCTGCTCGGGCCTAATAATAATAACAAACGATACAGGAACAATAGGCTCTCGCAGCGGTGAGCTGCTCGGGCCTAATAAAAAGAAACTTTCGAAATACAATAGGCTCTTGCAGCCTTCGCTGCTCGGGCCTAATAACAAACGGTACAGGAACAATAGGCTCTCGCAGCGGTGAGCTGCTCGGGCCTAATAAACGGTACAGGAACAATAGGCTCTCGCAGCGGTGAGCTGCTCGGGCCTAATAAACGGTACAGGAACAATAGGCCTTCGCAGCGCTGAACAATAGGCCTTCGCAGCGCTGTCGCTGCTCGGGCCTAATAATAAGAAACCTAACAGATACAATAGGCCTTCGCAGCGCTTTGCTGCTCGGGCCTAATAAAAATCCATCCAAAACACTGGTGTTTTTCTCTTAATCTAGAGGGACATATTGTATGGATGCTTTTGGAGGAAAAATAGCCCCTGAATAAAAACAGCAAGCAGTTGCTGATGCTGCAGTCATCTGTAGCAAGTCCAGGGCTTAATTTATAAGCTGTAATTATAATATGCAAATTAATTTCATTCCCATACCAAGCAGAAGGAAACTATGAAAATGTCAGTGAATAAGGAGGAGTCTTATCTAGCTACATAGGTTGGTTTATTTTCGCCACAGGGATGGATTTAAGACTCCATCAAAGTTTTGAGTTGCTACATATTTAAAGTTGTCTTTAATAAATCCAGTTTGAATTGGAAGCCAATTAATGGCTGCAACTTTTATTGATTACTTGATTTTAAAGAAATAGATCCATTAGGTTGTTGGTCAGTGTGTTTTTCTTTTAAATCCCAGCCATGTTACACTAGGCCAGCTTAAACCTTCTGCAGAATACCTGAGGGTTCATTGGAGTTTGCTCAAACCAGAGGTCCACAAAAGACCTGTTCAGCCCTGTGGGGAAGGGCGCTCCAGGGGTATAGAGTCAGGGGCCCTTTACTGGGAAACATCTAGTCGCTTTACAAACTATGCTGGAATCTGGTCTGCGTTGCTGGCATTCAGTCAAACCTTTTTCTGGCCAAGGGCTGGAGGCGTCCGGTTCAGGGCACAACGGACTCCGTCCCTGCTTTCTGCAGATGACAGAGTTCTAATGGCTCCCACCTGCCAAGAGCCACAACAGGCCCTGGGGTGGTTCACAGCTGAATGCATAGAGGTCTGGACAAAGATCAGCTCCTCTAAGCCATGGTTCTCCAATGGAAAAAGGTGGTTTTCACACTTCAGGTTGGAAGAGAGTTCCTGCCTCAAGTATATTGCTACCTTGCTAACATGAAGCAATTGTGTTACAGGAAATAAAAATGAAGTAAATGCCAAAAACTGATGTATTATTATTTTCATCGTATAAGTCCTAAAGTCCTAAAGATGGCTATGAAAAAAAAAAAAATACCAGCCTTCTTTTAGTTGGTGGATTTAACACATTCAATGTTGTCTCCCACACAACAAAAAATGCCTTCTAAAAAATAAGAAAAAAATAGTGTTTTAAGTGAATAATTGCTTATTTTGAGCAAAATAATCTGCCAGTGCAGCAAGCAAATGAGACTTGGTAAGATTTCTTAAAACAATAACATAATATCCAAGTAGTAAGCATCCAAAAAAACTTAAATCAAGTATAAAAATCTGTTTTTCTTGTTAACATGTATTCTCATTTATTAGTCATTATTGCTTATAATTAAATAACCTCTAACCAATTATTGCTCAAAACAAGCATACAACAGGTTTAAAAACAAGGGAAATGTACCTGATACCAGTTCATTTAAAGGCTTAAAACTAGTCTGGTTTTCTTAGCTAGAATTTAATTAATTATTTACACTGGTAAAATGATCTAAAAATAAGTAAAAATTTCTTAAATTAAGTGTATTTACCCTTGATTTGAGTAGGTAAATTAGATACTTTGCCAATGGAATGAGTATTTTCAATCTTAAAAAAAGATAAGTTGATAATATACCCTGGAAATAAGACAATACAATTGTGTTTTCTTATTTTAAATCTAAATTGTCTTGTTCCATTGGCAAAATGTCTCTTTTATCTCCTCAATTCAAGAACAAATATACTTATTTTAAGAAAAAATTGACTTCGATTTTTTCCAGTGTAGGTGTACACTGCAAAAACCATCTTGAAATAAGTAAAAAATGTCTTAAATTAAGTGTATTTACCCTTAATTTAAGCAGATAAATAAGATGATTTGCCAATGGAATGAGTATTTTTACTCCTAAAATGAGATAATTAGTTAATATGCACTTGAAATAAGACAAAGCAATTTTTTTTTCTTATTTTAAATGTAAATTGTCTAGTTCCATTGGCAAAGTATTCCACTTAACTCATAATTTTAAGAAAAAATGCGCTTAATTCAAGCAAAATTTACTAATTTAGATTTCCAATTTTCGCAGTGTAGTGAATGTATGGGAAAAATAAACTTGACAAAAACTTCAAAACGTTTTTTTTTATTAATATTTTAGCAGAAATGTCACAGAATTAAGCGAAATACCCCCCCCCCCCCTCCTGTGAGGCCTGCACAGGCCAAACAATGAAGAGATGGTGATCTAGCAGTATCGCTACGCTCTACTTGTGAGATTTTCTTTGTAATATAGATCGATACCGCGTCAATATATCAACATATAAAAATATGGCAAAATTTTGCGAATTTTCGGGGGATTTTGTAGCATAACGATGACATATAGCAATATTTCATCAGTAAAACAGATTGATATGGTGTTTTTAAATGGCAATATATCAGCATATGAAGATATTATGATATTTTAATGTATCAATATTTTTTCCCTCGTCTTTAGAAGTTTTTAAGTCTGTAAAAAATAAGTTTTTGAGGAAGAAGAAGAAGTAGTATTTTTTTTTACTTTAGAAACTTAGAAGCTGATCAAATATCGGGTTAAATATCGGTGGGGTGGCCGATGTCCGATATTCAGTTTTAAGGCCGATACCGATAGGGGGCCGATTATATCGTGCATCCCTAATTGAAAAACAAGTGTATTAAGACCAAAATGCTGAATTCAAGTTTATTACACTTGTATAGATTTTCCTTTTTTGCAGTGCAGAAAGAATGAATCTGCTCACTCACCTCATCTCAACCCAAAAAAACTCATAAATATGATAAATATCCTGTATTATAGATACTCTTGGAGGAGTGAAATCATATTTCACAGCCAAATAAAAAGGAATAAAAAGAAAAATCCTTTTTTTGCAAGATGGGAAAATTATGGCTTAAGAGCAGCAAAGCGTCGGTCATTATTGCACTGCAAAAAATTTAAATCTAAGTAAGTTTATTTTTCTCTAAAAAAGAGCATTTCTTTCTCGAATTAAGCAGTTAAGTGATACACTTTGCCAATGGAATAAGGCAATTTACATCTAACATAAGAAAAAACAATTGCGTTGTCTTATTCCAAGTGGATATTATCTAATTATCTTATTTTAAGAGTAAAAATACTCATTCCATTAGCAAATCTTATTATTTACTTGCTTGAATTATGCCAAATACACAAATTTTAAGACATTTTTACTCGTTTCCAGATTGTTTTTGCAGTGTGTAAAAGGGTCACAGAAGTATAGAAAATAAAAAGAGATCTAAGTGAAAAAAAAATCCAAAATACAGTGCAGTTGGAAGAAAATAATTTTGAATATAAATAATGTGCAGTCACAAAAAATGATAAAGAACCAAAATATACAGCTGTGGATATTTCCACAGTAATTGGGTAAAAGAAACAGCAGCAATAAAAGCAGCATGTTATTTAAAGTGAGTAAAAAAGGAACTATGCAAAAATCAGCATGGATGTAAACACCTTTTCAGCTTGTTGGGAGCATTGATGGATATTAAGTCTTACAGCTGCCGGAGGAAGGATCCCCCCCCTAATGATTTTATTACCCACAACAGAGTGAATACCGTTAAGAGCTGCATTTAGAAATTTGTTTAGCAGGATAAAAAGAGGAACTAAATAGGAAAATAGTTCTTAATAAAACCTAAAAATATTTTCATTAGCAGAGCAACACTCCTTCCTGCAAACACTTGTCTAGAGTAATCACACCACGTCTCTCTGTTTGGCTCCTCTCTTCACAGCCGGCTCCAGCGTCATCTCTTGCGTCAGCTGTTTCTTCCTGTCTTTCGGCAACAGCGAGTCAGCCATGATCGCTCTGTACTGCCTGTTTGGTGGGATCAGCATTGCCTCCTGGAACTCCCTGGACGTGCTGACCGTTGAGCTCTACCCGTCTCATAAGAGGTGGGTGATTTAGACACGCTCTGAATTCCTTTTGACACCCTAAAGACAGCATCGCTGCTGTGGATCATGTGTTAAATTACGTCAGAGGAGTTACCCTTCCGCGATTGGTTGGTTTTCAGGGATGGATGACGTTGGCGGGTGTAATCATTGCTGCTGTTTAGGCTTGACAGCTAATTTTGCCACCCTGCCCTAACCCTTTAAGAAAGTAAATTAATTAATGTCTACAAACAGAGGAATTTATTGAATAAAACAAAATGAAAGACTGATATCTCTCTCCAGGATGGACTCACAACCAAAAAAGGAGGGACCACATGAAGCCACTATGATGAGAAAAAAACAGAAAGAACATAGAGTTAGATGTTTAACTAACAAATACTGCAGAATGGGAGAATAGAGATAGAATAAAGCTGAATAATGAAAAGCTGTCCTTATGTCCTCCAGCATTCTAAACCTATAGCAGCATAACTACAGATATAGCTCAGGATAACCTGAGCCACTCTAAGGTTTATCAAAAAGTAAAAAAATCATTTCTAGAGCAGCAAAATGTAAAAATTGTTTTTAACTCTGTTGTCAGAGATAGACCTGCTGATTTCATAGCAGGATAAATACCTCCACCATGAGGTTATAACAAGCAATAGCAGCTGCCAAAGTAATGCTAAGTGTTTACTTTAGGACATTATGTTGGATCAGGAAATTTCAGGAAGTCATCAGGTCTCAGAAAAAAACAGGGTTTCTGCTCTCAGATAAAAAAAAATCAGGTCTCAGGTTTTGGGAATAAATTATCAAGTCTTTGGTCTGATGGAAAACAACATGTTGTTTTTTTTTGTGGTGGAATCTTGACCACTAGAGCAGATATTTGAGTTAACTACAGCCTTGTCAAAAACATCTTTAAAGTTGAATTTTGGTTTGTAGAAAGTTGACGTTGAAGGGTGTCCCAGTTCCCAACTCCCCTTTCTTTTTTTTTCCAATTCCATAACTTTATTAGCCTCGTGAGACCATCCTGATCTCGCGAGCTTTCAAGGTTTCACTCGCTAATCAGTCTGGCTACTCTCCGTTAAAGAAAATTTGGAGCTGTTCACCAAACGAACGTCCAATCAGCGTTGGCTTTGAGGCGGGTTGAGGTGTGACGCAACGAGAAGAGCGACAGTTCAGTCTAAAGAACATGGCGGCTTCAGCCGATGAAACTAGCGTTAGCGTGGCTATCGAGCAAGTTTAATCGGAATTACAGAGTATTTGTTCACTGAAAGAAGAGCAAAACACTGCTCTGGAGGCTTTTCTAAGAGGAAAAGGTGTTTTTGCTCTTCTCCCGACTGGTTTGGGTAAGAGTTTGATCTATCAATTGGCTTGTGCCTGGCTTGTGGTTGTGTTTTCGTCGTCGCTCTGATAGTACGTCATATGCTTCGGTGATCTGATTGGTTTATTTGGCCCGTCTATCACCAACATAGGCCAATCAGCTAACCAGTATTTTCGCCCCTTCCCAAAATTACTTCAACGGAAGGTTTCCAGATGGATATGCGCAGCAAATCCATCTGGCGGAGTCAGGTTATAACTTTATAAGACTGCTGCAAGTTTGGATCTTTTCCTACACTTTTAGGCTGAGTCCAGAGTTTACACAACCCACCATTTACCATGATACCTTGTTGGTCATTGGATGGAATAGTGATTAAAACTGATATAATTCACTTTTATGAAGTAGAGTGAATGTTTGAGATAATTGTAGGTGACATTGGGGCTTTTAAATATGTGCTTGGTTGGTCAAGATAAAAAAAAAAAAAAAAGAGCACTGCTGTTTTCGTGACACGTAAGTTAATGGCTAAAACTTTTTTCCTGAGACCTTTCACCTTTTTTCCAAGACCTGACAACTTTTTTCCGGATGCTGATGAAGGTTCTCAGTCATCCAGGTCATAGTCATTCCGTAAAAATTCAAAAAATATCCACTGGACTTGGTTTCCAGGTTTTCTCGAGACTTAAAAACCTTTTTCCTATGACCTAAGATGTTCCTCTAATTTATTTTATTTACTAATCAAACGACCAACACACAATTTACTGCAATTGTACTCTCCTCTTTCCATAGAACCACAGCGTTTGGCTTCCTCAACGCTCTGTGTAAACTGGCGGCCGTGCTGGGCATAAGCATCTTCACTTCATTCGTTGGCATAACCAAGGCCGTACCGATCCTGTTTGCCTCGGGCGCGCTGGCAGCAGGCAGCTTTCTCGCCCTCAAACTACCAGAGACGCGGGGACAGGTCCTGCAATAGTGTGGCACCAAGAGCTCTGCAAAGGGCAGCAGAGTTCAAGCCACACTGTGAAGAAAACAGCGACAAAGTCCATCGAATCCTGCCCTTTGAACCCCCCCCCCCCCCCCCCCCACTCACCTACATCCACAACTAAACAGTCAACTACAACATGAGTGTGTTGAGGTACATTTGGCCATGACAGTAATCCTCCCTTATAACGGTTTGTGATGTTGCTGCATCCCGATAATCCAGAATAAAAGATGTTTGCATAAATCTGGACACTAAACAAAAAACCAACATAGATGTAACTTCATTACTTTTCCCCCCTAAGTATAAAAAAAACTAAACATCCAGGGTTGGAGGTCAGTGAGCAACTCAAACAGACTTATAGAAATGACCACTAGCCATTATTGCAGAGTTGTCTGCCCTCACCTTTGTTCTCTTGAGCAAGATCAACTCACCTTTGAAGTTGTGAGTTCTTCATCCTTGTTGGACATCTTCTCAAAAATGCAATTTCTGCCTTGATTGGAAGCATTTTTGATTCTGCGGGGTAACACCAGGACGTCTTTGTCTTGGCCTTCCTTACTCTGTTCCTCCTGAGGTCTTGTGTTGGTGTCTAGACTAACTGCCATTTTGTAGATAATAGAACATTCCGGGTTTGCTTTTGTTATCGTGACAAATCTGAGATGAATCCCCCTCCCTTTATGGCATCACGTTTGATCGCACAAAACCAGGGGACACGATCCAGATATCCATTCGTCATGAGGACATTTTCCCAAGGAAAATGTTTAGATTCTCCCAGTTGATCTTTATTCCTGTCCAGCTGTATATCCCCTTGTGAGAACTGCCTTTCCCCCCCTTCACCTTTACAATTATACGGGATGTTTGTCTTTGAGTTGTTGCGGAGGGTGTTATGCATGTCACAAAGTATGAACTGTACGTAAACTTTAAAATCAACACTGTAACGTGTAAACAGAAATTTACTACATTCGTTCTCCATCAAACTTATGTAGTATTTTTAACAGGACATGTTTTTTTTTTATTATTATTATAGTCTTAACAAACCTTTCCCAGATAATTTTAGAGCACACTGCACAAAATTTGGTTACCTTGAAATGTATGAAAGATATAGAGTGATGAGAAGACTCATATTTAGGTTGTTTTGGTGCAGCCATATTTAGTGTTCTCCGAGAATTAAATGTTTATATTATCGTGGGTCATCTTACTGATCGGAATATTGGACCTTGGTGCAGCAGAGAGAATTTTATGTTAATTTATTGAAGGGATCCATGATTAGTTAAACATTTTGGCCTAAATAAGTTAACTAATTTTCCTATCAACTTCAAAATCATTGTTTATATTTTGTAAACAAAACTAATTAATACTTCAAAAATTATTTATCCAATGTTATGATTTTTACCCCATGTTTTTTACGTGTGCAATGCATCCTGGGTAAATGAGTTAGGTCTCACTGGTCTGAAACTTGCAGAGTAAAAATAGGAAAGCTATTGTTTGCGTTCGATTGGTGTAAACTTAGAGAATGCCACACTGCGTCACATGAGATGTCTGTTGAAACAAACAAATTTGATTGGCTTGTGATCTAGGGTTTATATATATTAGCTAGAGCTAACACTGTTAGCAGAAGCTAACATTGAATCAAAATAAGAATATAACGAATGACTGTTTAAAGTCGGGCTTACACTGTGCGATTTTTTTGCCCTTTTCGCGGCGACTTTCCAGTCGTGCGAGAATTTTCCAATCGGCAAGACTTTCAGCCTTGTCGTGCATTGTGCGTTGTGTAGTGTACAAGGGGTAAACTACACGACGTGTAGTGTACAGGGGGCGATCAGCCTCTCACGACCAACTCCCGATCAGGGATCGTGAGCAAATGCCGTTGTGGGCAAATCGCTCAGTGGGACAGACCGTAGTAGCCACGTTTTATCAGCCATGTCTTTGTCCAAATACGTCGTCACCTTTTCTTTTTAGGGTTTTCAGCACAAAATTGCGCAAATTGCCAAGGCAGCGCATTTCACTCTACAATAGTTAGCTTCACATTCCTCCTTTACTCATTTGGCTTTTGGATAGACGATTCCGAGTAGCAACATCTCACTGCGGAACTGAGTCCAACGTGGTTTTTAGACGTACAGTGTGAGCAGGTAGATTACATCAGAGCGTCGTGCTGCACATACATCATGAGCTGTGAGCTCACACTTTACGACAAAACCCTGTGGTTTTGTCGTGAAGTGTGAGCTGTAGCTCCGTGCAATGATTGAAAAAATCGCACCGTGTATGCATAAGGTGACAGTGAAGCATCTTGCAGTCGTAACAGTGTTCTAATATATCTGAGAAAATGTTCTGATGCTGATGCTAAGTGTAATTAGCCTCAGTTAGACACTGGGGCTCTTTGTAGCCTAGCTCTTCATCTGGATTAGCATTTCGCTAACCTCCCCCCCCACCCCCTACCCCATTTGGTCCTCCTCATCCTCACAACCTTTTATGATTTCTATATCGCATATATATATTAAAACTGAAAAGGTCTAACATCACTCATTGCTGTTTTTGCTGGAGGGAGCTAGCGCTACAGCACCTAGCGTATCTCATTTATTCTTCTCAAAATGCATTGCACCTTAAACGACATGGTAATGTCATTTCAACAAAATTTTATTTAAGTTTAATACAAATAAACAGCTTACATTATTTTTATTTAATTGTTTAAAAAATATTTATCTTAAATATTACAAAAGGTCTCTTGCTACAACTAATCTTGGATCCAGCAGTTGGTAAAATAACTGGTTTGATCCAGTTTGCTACCATACGCCAGCCTAAAGAAAATGTTTTTTTAAGTGTTTCTCTTAGACTTGTTGTTGATGTCAGATTCACAAATTTAATTCATTCCACAAACATTTTTAATTGGTTTTACCGACTCCTTAAGTTGCTAATATTCTTTTGCCATAAATGCTATGAATTATACACTTCTACTCTGTTAGATAAGAGGAAACATTGTCAGCCCATTCTCTTTTTTTTTATCTACAAACACTTGTTTAATAGTTATGAAAGAAAAAGAAAACTTGAAACTTGGCCTTAATTTCTTTTAATAAGGGAGAACAATATGGCACACATGTTTAGCATTAATTTATCATGACAGCCGTGCATTTACATGGGATATAGTAGCTTGAACGGGATAGCAGAGCTGAGATTTCTTCAAATACTAAAGGTTTCTGATAGTGCCCTCTGTCTGTATTCAGCACAACAAAACTCTGCATTCGCACACATCCCTCTGGTCACTTGGAAAAAACAAAGGAAAGTCAATTAACAGTCAGTCAGACAATATATTCTCGTCCAAACTGCCATTTTGTAGGATAGCAGCCATATGTGTTGTCAAGACCATCAAATATAGAGCCAAACCACTGCACTATATGTGCATTATGCACAATATGAGAGCCTTGGGTCGCTTGGCACAATCCAGCTGGAAAAGTAATGAAGAACCAGGGGAATATTGATCGAAAGCACAACCATAATGTACCAAACGTTGATTTCTGTGAACAGGAAAGCAGTTGTGAACATGCTGTTGGTTCTGCACAAGGGAAATTAACCCTATTTTTTTTCTCTTTTTTTTTTAAATTTTTCTTTTCCCTGATCTAGAATTATTACCTAAAACATTTTCTATTCATGTGCCATGAGTACCACCTCTCATGAATTATTGCCAAATACTCTCTCTGTGCCCTGGGTTTACACATTATAACATAAGATCCACTATAGATACGTATAAATAAATATGTAAATAAAATTACCTCTAATAGAAATAATAGGATTTTAAAATATTTTCCCCCATGGTCTTTACATCATTAGGCATTTCTTTCTGCTTGGTATGTAGAGCAGGAGCACTTTCTCTCTGAAACTGATCTAAAATGCTGCTGCACAGTTCAGGTGCCCTAATCCTAGAGCTATGACTTGAAAAAAAAATTCAGATAGCAAAAAAAATTTAGCATGTTAGGTTGCAAAATATCCAGCACAATATCTCAGAAGTACGGTGGCTGAAGGGTGCAAACCTGATGTAAATACGTAATTTCACAGCAAACTCAAAACAGCCTTCAAACTCAAAAATGAGAAAAACAGATGCAAAAACAAAGTGCTTCAAACAGAAAAGCATCAATCATAGAAGATAGAGCGCCGCAAAGTTGCAAACCAACAGACCGTCGCACAGAGCTATAAATTAACGCTAATTTCTGCACGATGTCTCGGATAGTGTCCGAGGTGTGCCAGGCATTGTTGACGGCGCTACCGACAGAGTTTCTGCCATTAAGGCTGATTTATACTTTGAAACTAGGTCATCTTAGTAGGGGTCGCAGCAGAGATGGCAAAAGTACTCACTTTCCATACTTGAGTAAAAGTACAGATACTTGTGTTAAAAAATACTCTGGTAAAAGTGGAAGTACTGATTAAACTTCTTTACTCAAGTAAAAGTAACAAAGTACAGGCTTATAAATTTACTTAAAGTATAAAAGTAAAAGTAGAAACCACTTTTTTCATGCCGTTGCCTACATTTTAAATGGATGTCTGCCAATAGGACTAGATCTCCGTTGTGTTCATTTTCAATCATCTCGTCGTCCATGCTACTATGCTAACGCCACCGCCACCAAGCTGCAATGATTTGCCGCCAATGAATACCGCCGAATCTGTCGATTCATCTTGTAGTGGTGCGTCAAATGCAACGTAGATTCCCATCCAATTAGATTGAATTTGGTATTGATGACGTGAAAAATAATAACGGTAACTCCATTGAAATGATTCAAAACTAAAGTAACGAGCCAATTTTTTAAAATGTAAGGAGTAGAAAGTACAGATATTTGTGTAAAAATGTAAGAAGTAGAAGTAAAAAGTCGCCATAAAAATAAGTAGTAAAGTAAAGTAAAAATATCAGAAAAATCTACTTGAGTACAGTAACGAAGTATTTGTACTTCGTTACTTCCCATCTCTGGGTCGCAGTGAACACAAATGTCCCCCCGCCCCTTCCGCAGATACTCTGCTGCACCTCTCCCAAATTGTAGGTGACCTCAGACAGTGCCGCCGACAGGAGGCCTCTGATTGGTCAGATCTACATCCGCTGTATTCTAAGTGTATTTCCTGCTTGGTACCTTATCGGCTTGTTTTGTTTGTATGACCGCCATTGCAGTAAATGACTCGTGAAGTTGGACCAGCTAGAAGAGCGAGGTGCGGAAGAACGCACTGGAAAAAATCTAAATCTAGTCATTTTTTCTTAAAATAATTGCATTTGTTCTTGGATTGAGGAGGTAAAAGAGACATTTTGCCAATGGAACAAGACAATTTAGTCAAGTCAAGTCAAGTCAGCTTTTATTGTCATTTTCTACATATGTACAAGACATACAAGGGAAATGAAATTACGTTTACTCTCTGCAATATACAAATATACAAGAAATATACAAGACTGACATTTAAAAACTGACATAAAGTGCGGGACATGACAGGTAACAGTGGTAAGATAAATATAAATATGAAGTATAAACATTACAATAAAAAGCAATAAAAACAGCAGCAATAGTTTGTTCCAGGCTGAGGTAGTGCAGGTAAGGTGCAGTCTCTGGTACAGTGTACCAGAGAAAACACAATTGCATTGTCTTATTTTAAGAGTAAAAACACTCATTCCATTGGCAAATCATTGTATTTATTTACTCAAATTAAGGGTAAATAAACTTGATTTAAGAAATCTTTACTTATTTCTAGATTGTTTTTGCAGGGTGTGACCCTTTTTCCACCTGGATCCCCGCTCTTTATGGCCCTCAATACCCTCCATTGTCGCACAAACTTGCCCTCACCGCCTCGGCCGTATCTAGACCCACAGCTAGTTGCTGATTGTCTCGCGTTGCGGCGTGGAATAACATAGCGCAGACCACGCTTCAATATTTGGCATAAATCAAAAATGTCTGCAACAAGCTCACTGAGACACACTGCTGCGGGAAGATAACCAGCAATTTAGGTACCCAACGGGAAATATGCATAATGTAGAGGGGATGCAGAATTGACCAATCAGAGGCCTCCTTTCTCTCCTCCTTGCGACACTTTCTGCGGCGCTGTCTGCGGTCATTGGATGGAATGCGGGGGGGAACCAGGTCGTCTGCGACACACGCAGACGACCTGGTTTCGTAGCATAAACCAGCCTTTACCCCTTGCTCACACTGGCTCCGGTGCGGTTACCGAGCTGACGGAGACCGCAACTCCCGCACACCCCCTCTCACACCGCCCTTTTGACTACGGTGCAGTGCGACTCTGCGGCTCCGGCAACAGGTCCGGAGATTTAACTCGCGAGAACAGAAGTTCACTTGAGTTCACGTAACTTCACGCGATAACACGGCCCAAATAAGGATATTTGCGAGAGCTTGTTGCAGAGGGTTCCGGCACGCCGCAAGGATAGCTTTCTTGCGGAATTTTCTGCAGCACCGGAGTGTCTCGGTAACCGCAGCCGGACAGCTCAGCAGCCGGTGAGAGAGGTTTACGTCTTTTTAATGACTTGGAATCACTGCGGCGCCGCACCCACCGCACCGCAACGGTAAGACCGGAGTCGGTGTGAGCCTGGGGTAAGGGTGTGACCATAGGCAGCTGTTGAACGTCTCCCTCTAGTGGTCTGGAGCACTTCTGCTATGTGGGGCAACATAAATTGCTGTTGTTTTTGCTGCTTGCAGCCTTTTTCCTTTGCAAATGTTTTGCTTGTTAGATTCAACTTTGAGTTTACAGGACATTTAAGCTTGCTGTGAAATCAAGTATTCACACAGCGTTTGCAGCCCGGACACCGTACACAAGCACACTGGTAGAAACACAGAAACTATACAACCTTAATATAAGATCACTGCATAGTGCCCCAGGTCACACATAAAGTCAAGAGCAGCAAAGGCAGGGTAAAGCAGAGAATGCTGTTAAAACGCTAACGTGACAGCTTAGGCTCCAATTCTAAAAGCTCTCTCATACATATCTAAGCCTATGTTACAGGGTTTTTTTAAAAATAATTAAGTTGTTGCCTGGGCAACAGTCAATCGTGAGTGCAAAAAGTTAACAAAGCAATAAGTGTCATGGTGTTTGTCTCTTAAAAAAGTTGTTGGAAATTGGAGCATATTTACTACATGCTGGCCTTTTCCCACTGAAGGGACTGATCAGCATAACTGGAGTATGGATGTGTGGGGTGGGGCTGAGTAGTTAGTATCTTACCTTTAACCGACAAATCCAACTAACAGCTGCACACGTAATTTAATCTTAAAGTTAATAAAACTAAAGCGTAAATATTTCCGTTTTCTGAGTTCACCACAACGTCTGCTGTTTTGGTGTAAGAAACTGCCTGCTCAGATCTACGCCGCACAACATCACATCAAAAAACAACCTCTCCCATTAATGAAGATGTGAAATTACAAGAAAAATGTAAACATCTGTGTGTGTGACTCTTGGT